AGTCAGGACCTCGGTTTTACGTCTCATCTGAAGGACGGCGCCTGTTTTACAGTATAGTGTCCCCGTCACTATACTGGGGCATTAGGACCCACACAGACCACAGGGTGAGCGCCCCCTGCTGGCCCCACTAACACCTCTCCCAGCAGCAGCCTTAGTGTTTCCCAGGAGGTCTCCCATCCAGGTACTGACCAGGCTCACACCTGTACCAATACTGATGTCATGATCACAAATCCAGACTGTTAGACTCTGCAGCAAGAAAACAGTTTTGAGTCTGCTGTCCCAAAACTTTTAGAGGGCACGTACGTAGCCGGTTTTTAATATTTTTGAAGCAGACGACGGACACAATATTTTACAGGCCGAAGTGATGAAGAGGACGGTGTTTTTCCACCCCAAAATCAACCCGTTTTTCCAATGATGTTTGCAGAAACTATGCTATTGTAGGAAATGTAGTACTGAATTGCATTGGTCCGATTCTTTTTAGGATGGAAAAATGCTTATTAAAAGCATCAGAGTGTGCCATACCCTCAAGAGAGAAACAGGCAGTAAGACAGACTAATGAAAAGCTAGAGAGCACAGAGAAACAGAGCTGAGCGTAAGAGTTCACCTCGTTCACCACACTCATACACCCCACCGGAACCCGTCTCGAGGCCCGAACCTTTCCCCACGGGCTGCCTTTCTGTGATAAACCTTGCCGTCTGACCCCCGGCGGTCTCGGGGGGCTCAAACCGAAGGCCGCGGGCTGATCCGTGTGTGCGTGCGTGCGCACTCGGATCAAACCCTGGGAACAAGGAACGGCCACGGCGGTCCAGACGTCGGCAGAGCCCCCCTGCTCCTCCCAGGAATCCTGCAGCCCCTCCGCCCCTCCGCACGACTGACCTCCACCCAGCGCTGCTCCTCCACACACAGGAAGTGGGCGTCGCCCAGCGCCGGCTCTTCCGCCGTCCGTCCCCCGAACACAAACAGGAAACCGCGACCTGGCAGGGGGGGGTCGCGACAGAGTCAGCGCCGATCCCGCCAGCCGCCCGCCCGAGTGCGGCCACAGAGGCCGGGGACCGGAGCGAGAGATGCAGAGAGATACCCGAGCAGCTCAGGAGAGCTCGTCCCAGTCGGGGCTCGGGGGCAGGAATCATGCGTTACCCCCTTCCTGGTGCCTTAAGGTGGAAATGCTTTCGCATGTTTTTCGACAAACATGGAAGTTACAGGAAGGGCTTTTATAGCAGGATATCCCCACTCGCCGGTTCAAGAGCGATGGGTAGGCAACCCCGTGTCCAGGCTGATGCCTGCTTGCGATCTTGCCCCTTACCTCTGTAGGCCAGCGAGGTGGCAGTGTGCCGCCATCGTGGTTGCGGTGCTGTGCCGCCGCTGCACACCAGCTCTCGTGCAGACAGACGGACTGGACAGAGGTCAGCCGGAGACACGGGACCCACGAGGCCCGGCGGGGGGTCATACTTCACACGGAGGACGCTGGTCACAGGCTGCAGGGGGGAAGAACGTCCACCGTACACCACACAGCCCCAGCCCGGCACGGCTGTCACCGTGTGGAACACCCTGACCCCTGCAGGACAGCAAGGGAATTACAGGTCAACACGCTGCAAGGACACGAGCTGGACCTCCCAATGCCCAGGAGCTTGAGCTGTTGCAGTTTGCACACGTTGTGGGCTCTCGTAAAATCTGTACTGAGGCAAACACATATTCTGTCTCGTTTCAAATCTATATAGCAGGCTAGGAAACATTTTCAGAACTAAAAAGAATTAAAATAACAAGGCAAATGGTCATGTTTTAAATGTGGGAGCCTACAGCCTCTAAAAGATGACATAAGCTCAAACTGCACCCCACTGTCTTCAGGATTAAGTAGATAAAGGCTAGTTTCTGCTGTTGGTGCTGGTGGCTCTTTCACAGCCGAAGAACCGTGGCAGCACGGCACGACAGAGGACTTATGGGACAGTGCTCAGCTACTTTGTCAAGCGGAACTGCGCTCTAAGAAGAAAGAGCAGCAAAACAGGAAGAGAACTGGATCTTTCCAGACCCTACACATCTTCGCTCATGAGGAGCACAATAGCTCGAAACAATACAGCAGCCCTGTGAGACGCAAGGAGACCCAGACACAATGAGAGGGAATCATCTGTGCTCTGGAAGAATGCGCTGACTGATGTAAAAACAGACAACACATCTAATGGACCCGACATTTAACAGCTCAGAGGACCTTGTGACGTAATCAGTCAGGACTGCTGCAACTCTGCTCTCTGTCCTGGTGGGTTTACTACTTGTTGTTGTTCCTCACTGACTGGACTGAGCCCCAGCTGCATCAGGCTGGCAGTAGAAATGTCATAAAACACTGAAGTGAAACCAATGAACATTAAAAAATGCAGTCATTTCCACCTGTATTCCTTTTCAGTTTTCTCAAAACAGCAGTGGGTGGGTGAAGTGTGAGAGTTGGAGGCCGTGTGCTCACCCCAATCACTGCATGGCTCCACACGGGCACATCTCCAGCCAGCCTGGTCTCTGATCAGGACCCGGGCTTCCCCTCCGCGGCCCCCCCGGCCCGCTCCCCCGCTGAGCAGCACCGCCCCGGGGCTGAGCTCGCCCAAGCCGAGCCCCAGTCCCTCCACAGAGCCCCCTCCAGGGGCCAGGGACACGGGCCGCACTGCCAGGGCTCGCGACCCAGACACGGGGCGCAGCGGGGGAATTGGAGGTGCTGTGGGGAACAGAGAGATGTCAGGGGTGGACCGGGGCGCAAAGCCATCGCCTGGCTCTTCAAACCTACGAGGTCTTGTTAAAAGTGATTAACTGGGAAGGGGAGACTGCGCCGATATTCCTGCCTGCTAGTTATCTGGTTTTTTATACTGCACAATCGGGGGAAAAACATTCTGTGTTTGATGGGGAGCACCTAGTGCTCAATACAAGAAGAATCAATACAACCCATGCAGCTGTTCTTCAGCTGTAAGTCTTAATCACCTTCATCACTGTCCTCCTCACCCCCTTCCAGCTAACATCATCCCAGTAACAGCTCCACTTAGCTCTGCTGTCCTGCACCAAACCATCACTGCTTGACCAGCCATGACAAAACTGGTCTCCTGACCAGCTAGGACAGTTAAGGGGTTTACACTGAGGGTTAGCTTGTGTAAGGCTGGGTAAAATAAAAATGACAACAGACATGCAGTCTACTGGCACCAACAGAATATATCAGGCTCGTTCTGATTGGTGGCGGTGTGGGAGGGGCTTAGTGATATGGGCGGGGCTGTGTAGCGAGCTGCGCCATGATTGGACTCACCAACAGGGGAGGGGAGCAACGGCATGCTGGTCAGGCAGCCCTTGGAGGCTGTCAGGATGAAGTAGTGAGAGCACTTCTGGTGCCACTCCTAGGACATAAGAAAGGTCAGAGACCCGAGAGGCCATTCAGTCATTAGTAGCTAACAGACCGGATGATCTCACCCGGCTGATTCTTGAGAGAAGCGGAGGCATGGTCTTCAACCACATGGCCAGGCAGCAACTCTCTGGTAGAGAAGTGCCTCCTGTGCTCAGTTTTAAATGCACTTCCCAGTAGCTTCTTCTTCAGACCCTCTGGTCTGTGTTTCACTGCTCATTCTGAGTCGACTCTGTCACGGTCCTTGAGGATTGTGAATACTTGTGTCGGGTCCCCTCAGCTCTGTGCACTATTTTCTAAATGAGTTCTTACTAATGCAATGCACAGTTTGAATATGCCTTTACAGTCTACACTTTTAACTAGATATTTTAGCATTTTGATTGCCCATTGTATTTCCTCACACAAAGACCGAAGTAACTCAAAGGAAGGGGGAGACATGGAGGGTGAGATGAGGTTAGGAGTGTGAGATTCAGACACGGGGGGAGTGAGACACCAGAGTGCCCCAGCCTGCTGCTGGAGCCTGGCAGTGTGCAAGAGGGAGGCTTTACTGAGACGGACGCTGCTCTGATTTACTGTGAATAGGAGGAATGCACAGGCCAGGGGTGGACAGCTGTCCTGGGGCCGCGGCCCCTCACCTCGAACTCATCGAAGGGCTCCAGGGCCTCCACTCGCTGCCTCTCGCCCGGCCCCAGCTGGCCCAGGTAGAAGTGGTTCATGTCCAGGCAGACACAATGCTCCCAGCCCTGCAGCAGGGGGAGGGGACAGACACAGCAGAGCGTTACAGCAGGCCAAGCACAGAGCTGGGACACTGTGCACGCCCCCCGAAAGGCTGGAAACAGAACCAGCATGAATAAAGGATGCCTGCTCACTCAAAACCATACACATTTACCGAGCTTCTTTTCAGCAACGAACCGACAGGAGCTTAAACATTTAGAAAATTCGATAATTTAATCTTTAACTGAAAAGGCCTCAAAACACCTTGACCCGATGGCGACGTTCTCTCCTACAGTATGTAAAGTTTTGCATTACAAGTCTGGCACGCAGACAGCAGGAAGCCTGTCGATGCCAGTGTGTAGGTCAGAAACGCAGGCACAGCTGGAATCCGCGTGCGCAGCGCGTGACAGAGCGCGCCAGTGACACGCAACCCTCACCCTGTCCAGGAAGCGCCGTCTCTGGGCCTCGGTGTCAGGGTACTCACTGAGCGCGTGCAGGGCGGAGCTTAGCCGCCGGAAGTGCTCCTGCATCACCCTGCCGAAGGGGTCGTGGGGGCGGAGCTGCTCGTACATCACAAACACGGCATGGGGGAGGAGCCCAGCCGCCCACCCAATCAGAGCATCGGACCTGGGACAGGCAGACACAGGCACATGGACACCTTCAGCACCTTTACAGCTCTGCGCTCGGCAGGGAACATCGGCCTTGTGTCAGAGAGTCAGCGGACAGCAGGCCAGACGGCGTCTCACCTCTCCGTCTCCATGTAAGTCAGCACCACTTCTGAGAGGAGCAGGGTGGGGGCGGTGGGGTCCAGGCCCGCCCCCATCAGAGCGGACTCCACCCCCCGGAGCTCCCTCAGGTCCGCCCCCAGCAGTCTGTACTGCTCACTGTACAGACACACTGCGGGGGAGAGACGTGGCGTGTGACACCAGAGATCTAGCTCCAAAACAACCTGCAGTCACATGAATTCGTCTCCATTGTTTCCTCGAACCACGGCCGCCCTTATTCCAATCGCATCATGCAACGCGCCCAGAGTGCCGGGGTCTGTGCCCAGGGTCTTACCAGGCTGCAGCGGTGGAGTTGGGCTCTGCACCGCCCCCATGAGGCTGGGACTGGCAGCGACCAGCGCAGCTTTGCGTCTCGACACGTCGGGGAAGTCGAGCTCAAACACCACGCACCCCTCCAGCGCCCCCGCGCTGTGCAGCCGGAAATACAGCGAGTCAAACCCTGCTCCCAGTGACAGCACCTAGAGAGGGGCGGGACAGGGATTCCAACCTCAGATCACTGGCACAGCGCCGCCTAGGACAAAGAGCAGCACGGACGTACCCCCCAGCCCAAAACAGTTTAGAACCGAACAAAACACGTGCGCCGCATAGAACTAACTCTAACCCTGCAGAAACTAAACAGGAACCCGGATATTAACGGCAGGCCTGACCCTCACCCTTGATCCACCTGACTGAAAACCCTATTCTAATCAAAAGAAGGGGACCCCCCCGTTTACTCTAGGCCCCGACTGTTGGGTAGTTTTGTGCCCAGGGGTAAATCAGTTCTGGGGCAGCCCTTCCTTGCGTGCCTGGTGCTCTGGGGGCAGCCATGGGGTAAATCTCCTCCTCTGCGCATGAAGCCACTCCCAGCAACGGGTTCTTTCCTCTCGCGTCCGGGTCGCAATTTGCAAAGCCCTTTTCAGAGCTCTGCAAGACGACGCGCGATGCCAGGTTAGCGGAAGCCGGCGGAGGCGGAGCTACAGGGCTGCGTCAGGGCAAGTCCCCCCGTGACGCAGTGCCTCCCCGCGGAGCACCAGGACAAGGCGCCGGGCCGGGCGGCGGGCAGCCGACATCGGGAGGCACGGACCACACAGGGAGAGCTCACCTGTCTCCTGGTGCTGCCCGCCGTGCCGCGCAGGAACTCCCTGACACAGTGGTCCACAGCCTTCCAGCGCACGTAGTAGCCCCTGGGGAGAGACGCCACAACCCCCCCTGTGTCACAAGCACGTGGGCGAAGGGGGACAAACACATCGGCACACGTTCAAGCTCACGGGGCTGGTGAGTAATGGGGTCGCGGAACGCGGGAACAATCCCAGGCGTGTGAACACAGCTAATCTGTGATCTAGTGCAGGTGGGCAGCTGCGTCAGCACGCATACCGTAGGCTGCAAAGGAACAAGTCATAGGTTTATTCCCTGCTGAAAAGAGAAGAAAGAAAACACAACGTTTCGGCCGTGGAGCCTTCAGCTGTGAGAAAGTCTGTGGTCTGCCTGCTCTGGCCTCCAAAAGGGCCTCAATGTCTGTGAAGGTGAGCTAAGATCGCACTCTCTGCTCCTAACAAGGTTAACAGAAGGAGCGATCAGCTTCAAAGAGCAGGATGGAACCCACATGAGCCTGAGGCAGACGACCCAGTCACGTACTGCTGACTGTATAAACAGGGTTAGGAAAGGTCAGCGGCTTGCCTGTTGTTGCGTTGTTGCGTGTGTTAAAGCTCAATAAAGCCCGCAACAGCACAAGGCTATCTCCTGCTCTTCTGTTACAAAACTACCCACAATGTGAGCTTTAACGTGATACCACATGAAGAGAGAGAGCAGCGAAGAAGGGAAGTACACAGCCCTCCCAGGCTGCACGAGGAAGAGGAGGAAAGGGGGAACAGAGGCAGAGTCAGAGGGAGAGGAGACGTGTGCACTCAGTGTGGCGCAAGGCACTGTGCAGCGTGTACAGATGTATTGTATTGCTTCTTACCGGTTGATAAGGGGCGCCCTCCTGACGCTTCGGCACACAAAGCTCTTCAGGAAGGGATCCGGGAAGTAGCCCTGCATGGCCGCAGAGACCTTACTGACCACGCTGCTGTCATTGGTCCCCTGCACCTG